AAATGTATGTAAATTATACAGGTAGTATCTCTGATTACAGATGTATAAAATGCATATATTGTTGAGTAAAAAAAATAAAAACTACTCTTGCAAATTTCCTTTAAGTGTATATGAGAAGCAATATATTTCAAAGAGACTTTTTTGCCTGATAAATTGCAGTTTTCTTTCCTTTATTGTCATCTGTCAGATTATGTAATAATGGTCTGAATTCTTTGATTTGTTATAATCAGCATAATGAAGAAAATAATTTCACACTGACAGAAACAACATCAACATTGCACCAGCATTAGTTAGCAAGCACCTTTCTACATGTAAAATTTGGGTGCCTGTGCTGGCCTTTACCCCGAAATTCAGATTGTTCCTAGATGTTATGGAACTAGAAAATACAATATAATTTCCCAAAGTATCAATTAGAGATGAGTCATGCTCTGCATAGTGAAAGGGTCTTCTTTTGAAGAAAGCATTTTTTAGCTTCAATTGTGAATGCATTTATTACATACCATTTATGAGCCAGGCACAGTGCCTAGGTGCATCCTCCAGAGAGCTAACAGACTAAGAGTCATGAAACAATTAAGTAATCACTTATAAATTCAAGTTCATTTAAAATCAAAATGAGTGGTATGGATTAATACCGAAGTGAGGTCAAGTAGAAGAAAGATGAAACTACTGATCAGCAGCAGATTATAGTCTTAATCTCCCAGGAATTAGAGTTCCCTTTTTAACACGATAACAGGGAACTCTGCTGGAAAAATGGAGATACAGAGCTTTTGCAATGTGGGTTTTGGCCAGAAATTCCTACAGACTTGTATCTCAAGGGTCAACATGAAATAAATTATTCTGATTGGAGTGTGAGGCCCAGGCATCATAGAGATATTTGCCTTCACAATCCAAACGAACAGATATCTCCAACCAGTACCATCCAAAGATCTGGGCATATGAAGGTCCTTCCTCAAATTCCTCAGCCTGGGTCTTAGGTAACCTCACACTCTGTAGCACCTCTCTTGAAATTCTCTAAAACCTTCCTTCTGGTGCCTGGGAGAGGTTGGGGCTGGCAATGCCATCCGGGCAGAACACCCTCACCCAAGACCTGGACCTGTGTAGGTCGAGTCTCTAGAAGCATTCAAATTTTTTTACCTCTCAGACCCTGTAACTAGCCAGGAAGGCAGTGCCATCTGGGCAGGGTGCCTAATCCAACCAAACCATGTGCACCTGTGTCCCTGTTTCTCCCTAACTCCCTACCTCGTATCTGGGGTTGACCAGATGCCTTGGGAAGCCCAGAGACTTGCCTATGGGGTTGTTCTGGACCAGTGGCCTGACCCTGGCTCAGAAGGATGGTCTAACAATTGAATCACTCACTCCTGCTGTTAGAATGGTATCATATGAGATTGGACCACACTAGATTGTCATCCCACTAGTTTGGGGTTACTCAAAATGTTTGTATAGTAAGGGGTTGGAAAAATATTTGACTAGGCCCCTCACACCCTAAAAGTTATTCTGTCTCAAACACTTCCAAGTCCTTGACAACCTCACAAAAGAGAGTGTGCCTGAGTGATAGAGTGCCCAGAGAACTTCACTGAGGACAGGAATTTGGGCTTGGGCTTTTGCATATGCAAGCACTAGGGGGCCGCTGACAAGGTGATAAGCAATTTATTATCTGAATGTACACTGGCTCATGGGACTCGAGCCTTCTATGCCTGAGCACTTTATGCCATGAGATGGATGGAGTTAATGATGCTCTCTCCATATTCCTAAGGGGTCTCCTGGAGAATAAATAACCCTTAGCGTCCACCAGCCAGTGTTTCTCATTGGGGACTCTCTGCCATTTCAAGATGGGCAAGCTGAAGAATTTTCTACTCATTGAAGGAAGTTTAGATTTCTTGTCTCCTACCTAATATATATCGGTTGCACTTTGCAGTCGTTGTGACATCTAAAAATGTGGCCCTCTTCCTCCATCAACATATGCAAATATTTACATTCCCTCTGGAAACTGCTACTGTGTCCAGTATAGAACCACTACTATATAGCATTGCTGAACAGGAATATAATGCAAGCCGCAAATATAAGTTACATATGTAATTTTTAATTTTCTAGTAGCCATATTAAGATAAGTAAAAAGAGACGGGAGATTAATTTTAATAATGTATTTTATTTAAACAAATATAGAAAAAATTATTATTTCAACATGCAATCAATATAAAATTATTAATTAGATATCTTATTTTCTTCTTTTTTTGGTACTAAGTTTTCAAAATCTTTTGCATATTTTATACTCAGAGCGCTTAATTTGGACCAGCCACATTTCAAGTACTCAGTGCCATATGTGATTAATGAATACATTGGTTTGGATGAGTAGATATTCCTAAAGTCCACACAGCCATGGGATCCCACTGATGCCTAGGAAAAATTGAAGCAGACTCTCACCAGATTTAGATAATCATCCACAGAGTAAAAGAGTTCATAAGCTGGTTTGACTGACGTCATCCTACCAGTTAGCTGGTCAGGTGATTGGAAAGACGAGCCTGGGATTTATGGGGCAGCTGGATCAGTTCTATGAAAGAATGTTTTTCTCATCTAGAAATGTTTTATTTGGGCTTAAAAAAATGCACATAATTAGACTTTTGCTCCTGCTTAAGGGTATGGTTCTACATATGCTGCTTAAAAATAATTTTGCCTACTATGGCCTTAAGTGTCATTTTCTATTGGCAGTTTCAAACAGGTTGTGTCGACAATTCTTTATTAAAGTCTTTTCAAAGGATATTAGATTTTGAAGTGCTCAGAGTATTTCCAAGCTCCTCATGCTTTTTATTTTTATAATTTTATTTATGAGAAGAAAAGTCTAATATCTACTTTTTCTGGGTCTAGTTTTGACTCACAGAATTCTTCTAGAGCTCTGTTTCTCCTCCAGAGCGTTAATTTTTTTAAAACTGTTCTTTTCTCTAATTAAAATGTTGGGTTCTTGAAAAAAATTTAAATCATAATTTATATGTTCTTTGCTCAGAAGGGCAAAAAGCCTGGTTCATTCAGCCGTGTAGTGGTTGAAAATGTCTCATTGTTTATAGAATGGGTCTACTCATCAATCTCTGTGTCCCCATCTGGACTGATCAAGAATTTTTAACTTTTTTTTTTTTTTTTAAGAATTTTAAACTTTTAAGTGAATCATTGTTCATTTCCATTTATGTTTCAAGAGAACAATTTTATTGTTAATTGCAGATTGTGAATAGTAATTTTTGGACATACAGTAGGGCAAGTATACCAATGAGAGAAATAAAATGAAAATATTCACTCACTGTGCATAATGGAAATTCCCACATTTAAAAATGTTTCCCGGGCTTCCCTGGTGGCGCAGTGGTTGAGAGTCCGCCTGCCGATGCAGGGGACAGGGGTTCATGCCCCGGTCCGGGAGGATCCCACATGCCGCGGAGCGCCTGGGCCCC